GTGCGACGGCGGCCATCTTGATGTTTGTTTACATAGCGCGCGTTTGCCATCCAAGAAGTCACGTGATTTCTTAGTGCAAGTCGCCTATTGTCAATCAAAAGGTATTGGGTGGTTATAAAGTTTATAATTACCTAAGTCTAGTTTACTGGGTTCTTAATGGTTCTTTTGTTTGTAATTATTGTTCCATTTCTTTAGGTTACCTTTGTGGGAGTCATCCGAAGTGCACAGGAATCCTCCACTAACATTGTATACACAGTCAATGACATGACAGGAGAAGACATTGTTGTTAAAAAATGGGTTAATGAAAATGAGGTGAATGGATGTAACATTGATGTTTTTTTACTTGTATACAGACAAATATTGTTTCTTCCACTGGTTAACTATTAGCTTTGTCTTTTTCTTTAAAAAGGAAAGCGACGAGGAGCGTGAAAGAAGGTCAGCTTGCAGGTGAGAAATAATCAGCAAGAAGCTCTTGTTTTTCAACTACCAGGGTGGATGGAGCTAGGGGGGGGGGGGGGGTGAGCTTGAGTGGTATTGAGAAAACCTACATAGCACTCAGTTGATGAAATGTATTCAGAAAATCTATTATATTCTATTGTTCTATTTATTGTATTAGGTGCAATTCATTGTATTTTTATCAATATACTACGTCAATTGTTTGCAAGAAGGGTGTGGGTTACTCTTGCCCGTTTAGGGTAGTAATGTACCGCTGAGCCCTCTGAACCCTAACCCTGTTCCAGAATAAAATCACTGAAATTTTTACCCTGTGTAGAGTAAAATTGCTGAAAACCATATTCTGTTGTATATAAAAAAAACATGTTCAGATAATTGCGAAAATAGATACCCTAAGAGAGAGAGAGAGCATTATTTCATATGCCCTGTTCCAGAGAGCGAGCACGATTTTAGAGTATCTGTTCATCCTGTTCCAGAGTATAATTATTGCTAACCACGCCTGCTTGGATCTCCCATGTGGTATTAAGGGATTTAGAAGGCTATTGTAACTGCTTTGCTAGCTTGTGAAATAGAATAATTGCAAGGCTTTAAATAAATATATGAATCAAAGTCATATTATATGGTTGTAAAGTTATATTTTCTTTGATAATGCTTTTTAGGGAGAATACATATGTCCAAGTAACTGGAAACTTAAAGTCATTTCAAGAAAACAGTCGTTCAGTGATAGCATTCAATCTTGTGCCCATTACTGACTTCAACCAACTCACACATCACACATTGGAAGTGGTCCATGCACATCTCGTATTACAAAAGGTATTCATTCTTGTACATTCTCTTCTTAGATACTCTTCATTACAATCACATTTTTCCCAATGAAATGAGCTCTGTTGCGTCAATTGAACAATGCAGATGACAGTTGCAACATTGATTATAGCATAACACTATGAAGTTACATAAAACAATCTTAATTAAGTCAAAGAATCATACTCAAGGGAGGGGACCGAAACAGCAGCAATACAAAGAAATCATAGATATATCAGAGCTATTAATTCAGCTCCAGAGTAAAATAACTCCGATTTCTAATTGTTCTTGACAACTCTGTCCCCCTTATGTAAAAGTTGTGACATCATAGTGAGATAGCCAGGGATGCAGTGGCAGATCCAGGGATTTAAAAAGTGGGGTTCCAAAATAGCAGTCATGTAGAAAAAGCTGGTAGATTTGCTTCACAAAAGGGGTTTCCATTTTCATTCAACTGAGCGTAAAACATGATTATCTTCAAAAGATTTTACAAAAGGGGGGTTCCATTGCCACTGGTATTAATCAGTGTCCTACACCAAACTTATAATATATGAACAGAGACGTTGAACAGGCACACTGTTGATAAACTTCTAATTTCTTATGACATTAAGATGTCATTGAAAATTTGCAATCATTATAAGGCATGTCTGGTTTTGTTTTCATCTTCTTGGAATTAAATTTGGAGAGGTGCTGTGCTTCGCTGAGGCCCTATTACCCTATTAGGTGGTAGTAATGACCTCCATCTGAATTTTACAACTGCCTATGTTTCAATTTCAAAACATTCTCGTGTTTCTTGTCAGAATTTACCCAACAGGGCCTTGCTGTCAGCAATACATTAGAGTGGTCTGCCAATCATCACTAGTTTGTGGCCTTCATGTCAGCCATTCAGAATTTACCCGTAACAGGGCCCCTCTGCTGCAAATGAATTGTGGATATATTTATTTTTTAATCCCCAGGAACCAGAGATATGTGGAAATACTCCTGGTGTTGGTATGACCCCTGGAAAAGGTGGTTATCAGGGAGGTACCATGATCAATACCCCAGGCAAGATGGAAACCAGTGGGTTTGGCGGCAGTGCTCTTGGTCTTAGTGGAGTAAAATTACAGGTAAGAAATATATACAAGTTGAGTGATCAACACATACTGTACCTTAAGGTGTCTGTAAGGGGTCTGCTAACCACTTACTGACACATTATTGTTAGGCAAATTGACAAGGATAATTAATATTTAAGTTAATCTTTAGGTTCATGAATTGATCTCATCGACCAACTCTGAAGAAGGAATGGGTCTTGCTACCATCAGACAGAGGTTAAGGGCTGTGCCAGAGATGCAGATAAGGTAATTTGATTTATAATTCAATTAAGTCTTTGTTTTTCACATTTTTAATGATAGCCGAGCGTACACATCGAGAATCAAATGCCCACTGACTTTATTGATTGACTGCATGCCTAGCTGGTAACTCTGGTCACTTGACAGTAATAACACAAAACATAACAGATGCCTTATTCCTACAGGTTAATAATTGTTTTAATTCTCTTTCATCCCACCTAGGAATGCTATAGAATTTTTGAGCAACGAAGGACACATTTACACAACAGTCGATGATGAGCATTACAGATCTACAGACAGTGGTTGATTGTTGTAGTTAGTAAAATCTCTCTTGAATGAAAAATCTATGTTAAGCTTCTGTTTCTTGACTTGTTGAGGTATATAATAGTTAAACCTTATAAAAAAATGTCATATATAGTTTTTTAATTTCACCACTTTCTATACATCGCTTCAGTGGTCTAGAACAGCCTTGGACTGCTCCTACAAAGTTCAAATTTCATCCTTTGAAACTACCTTGTAGCCTCTACATTTTGATGCTTTGTGTGTGACCAGTGAACTGATGTACAGAAGATGGTACATAGCTACCTTGACAGCAGAAAAAGTAAGCAGCCTATTTCTTTTTGCTGGAAACTCAACATCTTCTAGCTTACTATCCTTTGGACCTATTGCTAACTTAGATTTTTCTTTGTTACTTCACAAATTATGTATGGGTAACACTGATCTTACTGACAACTTCTCAACATGTTCTTCAGTTACTCATATTGTAATTATATAGCACTGTTACACTGTTAAATATTAAGCCATGTCTTGCAAGAAGATGCTCTCATTCTTGTGAAACCTTTGCTTGCAAGCTTCTAAAAACCAGTTTTTATAATTCCAACATTAACATATCACGAAGCAAGTTTACAAGTACAGCAAATAGACCTTTTCATATTTCAAGTTTACGAGTACAGCATATAGACCTTTTCATTTTGGGCAAAATGATTTCCCATTTCAGACTGTGTTATTCTCTTGAGAATAAGATTCTTTATTCTAGTGGTATGCATATTCATCTGTATTCTCCTATGCAACAATTAAACGAAGTTGTATTGATGTTCTAGAGAATGACACATGGTCTTAAATAGGAAAAGGTTGCATCCAAGTTAGAGATCCAAAATGGGAACAAAGTACCCTCTCGTTATAACTTGCTGGGATAGGATAGGCCGAGTACTGATTTTTATACAAGCTTTGTACCTGTAGCTATGGCTCCTTGTGTTTTCACTTAAGATCCGATGTCATACCAAAAAGAAATAAAATATTTTCACTTGGTCTCAAGATAATTTGGGTTTTGTAAGTAGATGCCATTTTAGTATCATTCTCTTGAGTACAAGATTCTTTATTTGAGTCTTATCCATATGTGTCTCCTCATGTGCAACTGTTAAACAAAGAAATAAAAGGAATGATGTGTGGTCTGAAATGGGAGACCATTATGTCCAATCTAAAGATTTGAGGTCTATTTTTATATTGGTGCAGTAAGTCAAGGACCCCCAAGTGAATGGTTATTCATCCTTACCTCTAATGAATAATAAACAGTCCCTAATAAGATTTAATAGGGCGCTCATTTATGCAAAATCAAACTCCTTTATTTACATTTTTTTTGATATATGCTTATTACTTTGCTAAAAGAAATCATTGCTATTTGTATTAAATTAATATTTTGTAGCTCAAATGTTAAATTTTATCTCGTGATTCTTTCCATAAGCAATTTTAACCTTCCACTGACAGTGCTGTTCGATAACAAAACCTCTAAAAAGATCACAATAATTACAAGTGAGTGTTTATTATGATTGCTATAAAAATTACTGTTTTTGTCAAAGCTCTTAGCATTTTCATCAACATAACACCATAGGAACTGCTCTATGAATTTAATTATAAATTTTGAGATGTACTGTACTGTACTCAAGACTATTTTTATATTAGACCATTATTATAATTAAAACTGCAGCAGAATCCTCATGCAGAAATGTAGGCATACAATGTAACATCTTTGAGATGAAAACCAGTAGTTAAAAACAGATTTTTGATAACATAAATGTGTGTCTAATATTTGTCTGATAATTTAACTATTTTTGTGAAGAAAGCTACCAGATATAGATCAGGAATATTTTTTGTGGTTGAGTTAAACTTCAGGAATGGAGTGGTCCATGCTCTTCTTCACCAGGCTTGATGCCATGCTAAAAAAAAGAAAGAGAACATTTTCAAACATGCACAAAAAAGTTCATGCATAAAAAAAATAATTATGGAATAGAACACCATATATCTGAAAAAAAAAACTAGCTATGTAGCTGCTGAATTCATTTACGCATGAACAAAACAAGGACCAAAAAAATTAATTGGATTTTGTTACTGATGTCCTACACTATCTTTGTACAAAATAGTGATATTAAATTTAATTGTTTTTATTTCATCCATATATAACATATATACAACCAATTAATACAAAAAGTGTCTATTTATAATACTCTTACCATTTCATTATGTGTTCACAAATAAATGAAGGTACAATTGTCAAGGTTATAGTCCTGTCTGCATTCTCCAAGATCTTCTTGGTCTCTGAATCCTAGAAAAATAAGTTTTAGTCCATTTAGAATCAGTACCTACTAAACGTAGTTAGTGAACACAAACTTTGATTTGGATAATCCTTTGTAGAAATAAATTCTTCATATACGGTATATGAGGGCTTTTGTATTAACAGGTCTCTACTTTTCAAATGTTTTTCATCTTCGGGCCAGGTGTAAATATTATTCCATTGAGGACATTTTATTAGGAGTCTCATGCTTATTAATTTATCTTCTCGAACACTGGATTATTGCAACTAAAAAACATACTTTCAGTCCAACAACATTCTGTCCATTAACTTCAACAATGTGATGCTCAGTTAACAAGCCATTCCTGAAAGATTAAAAAGAAATTATTACCATATAAGACAGAGCAGGATAACGACAAGGCTGCTACTTTTGCAATTTTTTTCTTTATCTCTCATTCATGCTAAAAAACGTTTAGTGTTTCATATCTTGTGCTTTAAACTTTTCACAAAATTCTGCTAACCTCAAGCAATTCTTCTTCCAGGTACTAGCGAAAATGTTAGTTTTTTTGTGCTGATCAAAATATCATCTCTCCCAACGTTCAGGGCGTTATATCTCAAATACACATTCCTTAAATTTCCCCAAATTTTGGTATTTTGTTAATCAGCCCCAAAAGAGCCTGTTTATGAAATATAAAGCTTATTAACGCATAAACGTCGAAAGTAGAAAGTAGCGTCCTGTCACCATATAATATTTTAAAAATAGGAATTTCAAATTTTATTATGATTTTAAATCAAGGTATCTCAACAAATCCAATAATACCTGGCAGCAGAGGAGTCCTTTGCAATCTTCGTTATTTTTCCATCTTTATACACAAACCCAACATGGCCAGTGCTGTCTTTCTGAAGAACGATCGTTCGCTCAAATGGCCTAGATGAATTGTAAAAAATACACCACATAATTGTACTAAACAGCATAAACAATATGATAAACAGCTTGATTTTTAAAACTAACATATTTTGATAAAATTATACTATTCCCTTAAGGTTTATTTAAGTTGTCAGAAAATCTGAGATGATGTGGCATTGAATTATTCTGTTGGCATTGAAAGTCATGGATTCCATGTGAAGCTTTAATGCATAAATGTTAAATTTGATTACCTGTCTCTTACGGCAAAAACAACTCTCTGTGGAGAAGCATTCTTCAGTCTACTCATTGCTTTGTCTGTGTCAAATCCAGCCATGTTTTCCCCATCAATCTGTAAAATCTGATCACCAAACCTCAATCCACCCAAGGCAGCAGGAGAATTGGCATGTACGAATGCCACAAATATGCCCTTGTTGACAGCACGCACTCTTAGTCCAAGTTTTCCATTGTTGTCTTTGCAAAGGATAACCTCGCGCACACCTCCTTTAATTTCTGCCCTGCGAATACCAAGGTTGTGGGGTCCAGACACTGGGGCAACAACATTTCCTGCTTGTGGTACAAGAGCACCTCCAGCACTAGGTACAACAGCTGTCGACTGAAGAAGCATTTTGAATTTTGATGATGAACATAATAATAACAATAATGATAATTATTCTTTATCCAGGGAAATCTACTTTCCTTCAAGATTTTTCATAGGGCCATGTCAAACAGTTTTATTAGAAAAAGAGAAAATTTTTCTATCAGTATTTTTATTTTAGAACATGTGCATTTTCACATAAAGAACTTCTTTCACTTACATAATCAGGAACATGTTGCCTCACAGCTTCCTCTGACACGTCAATTCCCATGTAGTCAGTTAATGATGGGTATAGGCCACTATATCCCGATGGTGCTGGTGCTGCTTGTCCAGGTGCTGGTGCAGACGCAGGCTGGAAAATAAAAGAAAAAACAAATTTAAATTAGAAGGGGAGATGAGTTCTGTGACAAAATAGTGTCATTCTTGGTTTGCAATCAATCCCAAGAGAGCACAATAACAAAAGGGATGTCAGCCATGCTGAAAGATATAACAAAAGAATTAATTGAAAAATCTTTTGTCAAATTCTTCCAACATGGCGGCTATAACGTCTATTGCAAACGAAGTATATTCAAGACTATCCTCCCCCTTCCTCAAAAAGCCTCCTTTCAGTCTTTAATATAAAGTTAAAGTAATTAACACATTCTCAATTATTCACGACTAATCACTAATGTGATGTACGTTATGACTGAAGGTAGTTCGTATGAAAAATATTTTTCCCCAATTGGTAATGAAAAAACAAAGCAATATTAAGCAACTCACCGTATATCCAACTGCCTGGTGCTGTGCTTGCATTTGTTGTGCCTAAAATACCGAGAAAGAAAGAAGCAAACTCTGTAAGATACCAAGTAAACTCACTTTTACTGAAACAGTAATAAGAAGCGGCCATTTTGTAATTTTGAAGATGCTGCTTGCAAATCATCAACTTCTCAGCTGCACAAAACCGACTTAAGAATATCGAATCCTCAAAATATGTACTGTTTTTTAGCTCAATAAAGCTATCTATTCAATACCTATACACATAGTTTCGTAATTTGAATGCTATTTAGATAAAAATCGTACGTAATACTCAAGCCCGTTAGCAGTGGAGCTACATCAAACAGAACGCTCTCCACCTTTTTTTCGAAAAACTRCACCGAAATGTCAAATTTTACGAGCTATTTTACCTGTGCCCGGGCCATTTGTTCCACTTTCATGTCTTCAAGAGATGGATAAAGCGACATTTTGTAATTATTTTATCAAAATACGACTTAAAAAGTATGATCCTCCGTATGATTCTTCTTCAAAAATTGGTTCGAGTTGCGAAAGGAACCTTTTTAATCTCGTTCGCGCACAATCGATAATACTCTATTTTTAGAACAACGACGTCAGTCTTAATTCACGTGAGATATGACGTCAAAGTATCATTCAAATAAGGTCATGCAACCCTTTTATGGCAGCAACGTCATTTGCTATGTAATTCGTAAAAATACGTTGTCGTGCTTCGGTCGAGTGATCATCGTTTCATCATCGTATGCCCTCGGTTGTAGCGTGGCGAAACGGACTTCCATGGCAGAACTGACCTAATACCTCTTAGCCAATAGAAGACGTGCTTTTATCTACCAATCAGAATGCATGGTGAAACCAACTCATTGAATATCCTCCCTTGGGGGAAGGGGAGACATAGTTGAGAYCACGTTGACCACGTTTTTATCTTCCAGTTGAGTGCGTACAGTATTCACTATTGTGTCCTCAAGCGTTTCATCAAGAATTCTTTTTGTCTTACTCTTGAAGACAATACCATGGTTAGTATACATTAAAATTTTGTTTATAAATATAGGAACATATAAA